CAGTGGAACTTCAAAATCGTTAAAATTCATGGCTCCCGCCGGATTGCGCGGGTACACAACTAGTATTAATTAAAGTTTAATAATCATTTAGAATTATTATTAGTCATATCAATTATTTTATTCAAAAACAAAAACAGTATCACTTTTTCAAAATCACATAAGACCATATTATAACATCAACCGAGATAAAGAATAAAACGAAATATTAAAATCAAAATGTATCTCACTGCATTGCGCGAGTACCCTTCTAGTATATTTAAAATATTCTATAATTTATCATCTTGAAACACTTTTAAAAAAAACTTCATATAAAATAACGAATCAATCTCATTGATGGGAATGACTAAAAACATTTCTATCTCCTCACATCGAGTTTTTTAAAGCAAAATAAAAAACAGAACCTTTATTTTAGAAAATCTGTTGGAGATGCTCTAGTACAACAACTAGCTAAGCTATATATATTATTTGGTGCAAGTGGATGTAAATTAATAATAACCCATGTAAGTAATTACTTGTTATTATCTGTTTTACCATCAGACAAGCGTCCTTTGTTTAGAGCATTCCCCTAAAGAATATTTGATTTAGTTGGTCGTCGGCGCACCGAAAGCTATATATATACAGTACTTAGTTTGTTTTCCACTTTTAAACCCTTTTAATTATACTGAAAGGGTACTTGTGCAATGCAGCGAGAAAAATCTTCATTTTAATGTTTAGTTTTTATTCCTTATCTCTATCGATATAATATGATTTTATGTGGTTTTGAGAAAGTGATAATGTTTTTATTTTCAAATGAAATATATAAATTTGAAGATAGCATAAAAATTTGAAGAAAAAAAATGATATTAATATCAAATTAATTATTTAGTAGTTTTCGTTTTTTTTATGTAACTTCTTTAATTCAATTTTTATTATAATTTAATTTAAATTTAATAACAAAGTAATTTATTTTTTATTTAACAATATAACTTTTTATAAAGATAATAATTAAACATTTTGTTAGAACTTAATGACTCTCTTAATTATATTTCAGATTTTTTATATTTAAAATGAATGTTTATCTTGTATTTGATTATATTTTTCTGCAGTTAATTAAACGAATTTAGAAATGAAGTTTTAATAAGTTGTACTTATGTAAAATTACTTGTAATCTTGAATTTTAAATAATATGCATCAACAAACAGTACTTTATACATAAAAAATAGTTTCTAAGAGTTTTTGTCAAATACTTTATAATATAGTATAGATACATATATTCTATCATGAACATATATAAATAAAAACTATACACAAATGATATTTGAATACACAAATAATTCTCAAAAGCTTATAGATGTGTGATACTTAACATGCATAATTCTTTATTGAGGTCGTGATGATAATTTTAGACTGTTTGACATTTGCAAGATTAATTATATGATCCCATTATTTAGGATCATGAATTTCGTCTATTTTCTGGGTTTGGAAAAGTCCGCTGTCTCTGACATGGACCAGGTGGAATTGAATTACTATGACGACGAAGAATCAAATTATCACTATATTTATTCTTTTTTCTACATATATAATTCGATCGATTGCATAATCTATCTCCGATATGTTCCAAGTATTTTGTATAATCTATCTTCACTTAAATAACATTTTTTTGGCATTTCGTTTCTTATTAGGAAATAACTTGTAAATGATACATAAAAAGCAGTAATTAAGAGATTTTAAGAAATTGTGTATAAAATAGCAGTGCCTCTAGCGGGTCCAACGGGTAGATCCCCTAGCGTTGGTTCCGCTTAGAGAATTTTACGAATTCTAGTTTTGGGATGACCATAGATGAACTTTAGAAAGAGTTTGACTTAATTTAGTTTTAAGAGAGTCGAGCTTAAAGAGTTTTAGTTTTGGGATGATCTAAACGAATTTCAAAAAGTTAAAAACTTTCTTGAAATTGTTCCCAAACTTGGTGATATTTTGACTAAGTATTGATCAGAGACAGTGTAATCAGAAAAACTATTTATCACCCATTTTGAAGAAATTTATGAGTGATGGTTTCTTAGGCAAAATTGGTATCTGAAAAACTATCTTAGTTCTTCTGATAGAGAATACATTTATTTATCACTCTTTCAGATGTTAGAAAATTTATCATCGGTTAGATTGTTTAGGATCACAGGTCTTACCTTCCTAGCTTTCGCAACAAATATGTAATTCTTTATTTTAATATAAAATGTAGAATCAAAAGTGAAAAATTTGTTGTGTTTGTATTCAACCTCCCTTTTACAAACACATATTGTGATTGTGTAAGTCACCATATCCATGTATCAACAAGTGATATCAGAGCAATTTGTTTAATCTCATAAACAAAATCTGAAATGACTTCCACAGTCAAGGATAATGGTTTTCTATCCAAAGTTTCTCATTTTGAAAAGGATAATTTTTCTCTTTGGAAAAATCGGATGACACTCTTTCTTGAAGGAGTTTATAACCAAATCCTAAATGTTAAAATGGTCTGTATTTTTCTGCCACCTTTCTACCTAGTGATAGAGATGAAAATGCAAAGTCATAGACCAGGGAGGCAAATCGTCAAGACTCCATACTTATGGGCAGGATAAAACAAGAAGCAAGTTGTTGTTGATACCAAAACTTGGACCATCATCATAATGTATTTTCCAGATGATGTTTATCACTCTATCATAAATCTTAGCACTGCAAAACATATGTGGAACATTCTTATGGTTTTGTATGGGGGAAATTCTGAAATAAAACAAAGTAAAAAGATAAGTCTAATCAGACAGCATGAACTGTTTGTGTGTCACAAGAACGAATTTCTTACAGAAGTCTACAAGAAGTTAAATTCTCTTCTAAATGATCTTATAGTGCATGATAAAGTTTTTGATAATGCTGAAGTACTAGGCAAATTAATGGATTGTTTACGGGTAAAATTTAATACTATTATGTGCTTATTGGGTAAGATTTTAGTCCACCAAAACGACATAGGATACAATAATTTACCCAGTAAGCGCTTACCGTAGAAAGAGTCATCGTCCTCACTTACCAGGTAAAACTTTTGATTCTTGTCTCGTTCTTACCGAGTAAGATTATTGGTCTTTATTATATTCNCCAGGTAAAACTTTTGATTCTTGTCTCGTTCTTACCGAGTAAGATTATTGGTCTTTATTATATTCATTCGGTGAGTTAATGTTACTTGTTAACACTAACCCGAGTAAGCGTTTGGTAAACGACCCTTAAATTTTGTCCACCCACATGCGGAGTATAACTATCTAAATTATAAAAAAGAGTAATGATATTTTCAGTACATTAATTTTAATAATTATTTAAATCCCAAAGATGAAAATTTTGCAAATTGAAAACGTGATTTTAATAATTATTTAATGAAAGAAGAAATAAAATGTACTTGCTGGGAATTGAACCAATTAAACCCCTGCGGATCCTCCATTGTCGACGGGGAGATTGCATTGCACCACCATCGCTCTTCATCTTCTTCCCAAACCACCGCTCATGTCTGCATCATTGGTACCGGCATCGCCCGCTCCTCCGTCGCTCACATCCTCTGCCGATGCTCCCCAACTATCACCCGAATCTCCATGTTTGACCATCATCCGTTTGTCGAAGCCAACCCTGACCAATCTGGGTGTTGCTCCCTTACGCTTTTTCCCTCCTTAAAATAACCAATTTGAACAGGTACTTCTCTGTCTCGATTATTTTTTAAATAAATGCCTAGCTGCTCATTTCTATTTACAGTTCTATTAACTTTGTGACTCTCTGGTTAACTAATTGTCACAGGCATGGAAAATAGGATTAACATACTGTTGTGCTACCGATGGATTAACATAGTGTTGTGCTGTTGATAGGGAATGAAAATGAAAGGCCTAATTAGTTATTAGTAGCATAGAATTCTAGCAGTTAGGTTTTTGTCAACCTCTCCATTTTTCAAACCAAACAACAGTACATGTTTTTCCCAACGACTACTTGGGCTAATATGCTTATCTGCTTCTTTCACACCCCAACCACACTGCTACAAGAGTACAAGTGCATTCTTGTAACTCTATTTTAAAACCAAACCGAATGACATGGTAAATCC